ATAAAGTCACTTTCCTGATTTTATCATTTTTGCTCAGATAGCTTATCGCACAGTTAACGAACAATGCATCGCAAATCGGGCAATGCCTTTTTATGAAAATCGATCGCCTCTTTAGCATTTTATGACGTTTAAGGATGCGCGCGAGCGGACCGTGCTCTAAGAGGATTATATGCGTGACTTTCGTGGCCTTTTATCTGTTAGGTCACGAACTGCACAGTCTGCAGAGTGGAAACCCCACTCATAGGAGATTGTACTGCTCCGTCGGCTGATCAGGGGAGATTCTCAAGAGATTACGCCTGACGTAAATTTACCCGCCTTCATTTTCAGTAGGGAGGTACTGACAATGGATTTGCTCTTGTTTCCAAAGCACCAGTCGGTAGATGCAGCAGTTCCTGATGTTAACTTACAATTGTAAAAATCTACATGCCTCCGGAAAACCGGTGAAGAGGGTTGCAAGGAACATTTTTCTCAGATGATTTGATCTCTGCCTATCTATCTGCCTATCAACAAAAAGGCAAAATAATAGCGGGCCAAGTACACTACCATGAATGACTCCATTCTTCACGCCTTTGAATTTTAAGATAAAATGAGAAATCTTCACCCGTTGAATGTAGGCGCTCAGGTAAGAGAATATAAATTTCAGAAGTTCACCACCTATCGCAAAGACGAAAGGTTCAAGAGAAAAAGAGAATTGTTCACTGGATATTGCCTTACGCATAACTAACGTGTAGGGTTTTATCTAAAGGCAGGCTAATAGTGCTTGCTTAAGGGCTTTTAGTGCCTGGTGATTTGGCTGACGGAAACAAGAGGGGGAGAAAAGAAGGGATATCCCTTTTTTGTGCTATGCTTATCAATGATACTGTCTACATTAAATTTGATTATTTTTTAGGGTTATGTTCCGGTGTTATTCAAGTGGCTGGCATCATCAGAGCATTTTTGGACCAAATTCTGTATCAAGAAATGGAGTTGAAAAATGTCCTGTCTTATTTAAAAATAAAGAGGTTTTGCCATTTAGAAAGAAGTCCTTAGTTCTTATTTCAAATCCGATTGGATTTCGACTTTTCATAATAGAACTTGGGAGGGCATTCCACATAGTCGCTTATCTTATAAAATAGAAATTAGATCGTTGGGACTTTTTGAATTTGAGGATCCTTATAATATTTTGGCTATTTTTAGTGCTTCGGGATGTTTTTGCTTGCTAGTGAATTCATTTTAAGAATATCTTGGCTGTGTGTGACCTTGAAAAGTAACCCTGCCAGCACCAGCCAAACCCTACCCAATCCGGCCCAAATTGATCAAACCTTATTGGTTGCTAAGGGTGATGCTGACGTCATTCCAGGCACAAGTTACCTTATCACGCCAAATGAAGCATATTTTATTGTACCGAATACCAAGGTAGTTTCTGAAGTCCTTGAACCTGCTTACGTGGACTTTGAGATTATTATGGTGCTTCACCAAATCACTATCGGTAATACTGACTTATCAAGACGTCAGGATGAAAAATTTACTCTTTCTGCTTAGATCGACCACGTAGTTCGGGTAAGGTGCCCGTTAAACGTAAATAAGTGACCTTCGGGGGTTGGGCTGGGTTCAGAGTTAGGCGGTAGCTCGAGTAAACTTAAACCACAACCATTATCGGGGTTTGGGATAATCGTACTTGTTGAGGGCGTAGAGCGTCTCTTGTGCTGCTATGTGCAGTCTACCTGTACATAGCAGACACAAAGACATTCCCTTTCACCTTCTTATAAGATGTAGCCATTTGTTAATAAAAGTAAAGAGGGTAGTTCCAGGAAGTGGTCGCGCAGAAGAAGACATGAGCTCTGGAATGGGAGCGTTATTAATCTGACGTTTGGGATTCTCACTCGAATCCGTCCTCAGAGACTGAGTCAGATATGGTTAGTGGGTTGCCCAGTTGTAGTTGCTAAGGCGTTACATGCTTATCGCAGTTGACAGCTCCCAAGTGCATTGCAGCTTGACTGGCCAGGTGTTGAAGCATGGAATTGCCATGCAGATGCTACGCGCCTGTGTGTCGGTCGAGAGTATAGACTCACCGGCTCTTCGCGCGCAGTCGAGTTGCTGACAAATGGGTCTCGTCATCCGTGTAAACTTTCTGGCGGTTTGGCTCGCTGACACCGACACCAGAAACAGTGGACATCCACACGTTCTCCACGTGACTAACTACCTTGCCTAAGCCAAGTTTCATTGTCAAATATGGGCCGAGGATTTCATTACGCCCATTGATTGATTGAGGACCGGGAAACAATGACTCGAGCGATTCGCGGCTCACGCGATTGTCGTCTCTGGCTAGAATTTCTGCCGAGTGAACCGTGACTTGGGAGCTGAGTTCGTTCCCCTCACTGCTGCTGCGTGCTCGCCTATCCGTGTCCAAATTAGTCTTCCGGTTTCCCTGGCATATTTGTCTTGTCCACAACTGCATCTGACCCGATAAACGACTCCAGATGGTTCTTGTCGTGGCGGTGGATCAATTGGCCTCATGATCCGACGACTTATGGTTGCCTCCAGGCTGTGTGCAACTCCAATCTCAAGGGGTTAAAAGGACGGCTGACGGCTTTCGAGACAGTCTTCATATACGAGAGAGCTCTGGTGATGGAATTGAGTCGGAATCTGAAACGTCCGGCTAATAAACCTCTTGTTCAGGCGATAATTTCTCCTCATCGCTAAGCAGTCAGGGTTCCGCACGATTTTAGGACTGTTTCAGGGTACTCAACTAGCGTTCCAACCTAGACCGCATCTCACCCTGCTGCTGAGGCGGTCAATGTTCATTGAATGCTGGCGGCCAAAAAGAAGATCATTCAAGGCTCAGCATCCTGGGGTGGCTTTAAAATGTGCGGGCTATGCTGGATGATTGTTATTATTGCAACACTACTTAAGCAATCGCCCTAATTGAGATAGAACAGAAAGAGCAAGAGAAGCTAACAGCAAACTCCCATTTCTCGATGTCCTCGTACAGCGAAAAACTGACGGGACATTGCAGACATCAGTATACCGCAAAGAAACTTACGCGGAAGTTATCCTACATTACGAGAGCAACCGCCCTATGGCTCACAAACGGAGTGCTGTTAACACCCTACTTAATCGAGCAAAGACACATTGCTCTGAAAACGAAGGGTACAACGAAGAACTCAATTATCTATTCAACCTATTTTCCCAAAACGGCTACCCTAGAGATTTTGTACGCCGATGCATGAAACCGCAGGAATCAAAAGAAAGAGAGAAGGAAGTAGATTGTTCCGATCAGACGCCAAAACCAAAACATTGGCGAACGCTTACCTACATTAAAAATGTGTCTGAACTCGTTGAAAGACACCTGAGGAAGCACTAAATACAAGTGGCTCACAAACCGACTACCACGCTACGCAATCAGCTTGTACACCCCAAGGATAGGGTTGCTATTTGGATAAAAAAGAAGTAGTCGTTAAGATCCCATGTGGCACTTGTAATGCAGCGTATTGTGGTCAAACAGGAAAATCCGCTTCTACACGCCTACATGAACACCAATTGGCAGTGAAGAGGCGGGACCACTTATCCCAAGTCGCCATGCATACTCTTGAAACTGGGCACAAATTCGCTTGGGATAAAACACGCATTGTCGGTTCCTGCCCATATAAGAAAGGCCGAGAATTCCTAGAGGCCATTCACTCTGATGATTCATGCATCAATCGACGCATCGATCTTGACGTCATGTACACAAATCTCAAGGAAAAATGGAACAGGTAATAGCCAATCAAGACGTGACATCAGCCCACAGCATTAACCCATCCTCAACCATGACAGAGCAATATCGATGTTGGGGCATGTTTAAATTTTGACTGTTTCTTCTCACTTACTACACGTGTGAAGACGAGCTGGGGAACCAAACTCGAAAATTTACGAAATAAAGTTTGTTCATTTTCCCCAAGGACTCATTCTTCTTCAAATTATGTTTCTTGGGATGCCCATCTTCCAGAACAGATAGTGTACATTTACGCTCACATGAGTTATGCTTATTTAATTACGCAGGATCCCTTTAAAAAAACATAAAATGATTACTTTAAGGCCAACAGTTTTCCAGCAGTCATTTGATTCGACACAGTCTGTGAATCATCTGCAGCAAGGCTCGAGTATAAAGAAAAATTATTTTATCCCTCACCAGGGCGGTGAACACTTCGGAATTTTCATAAAACGTATGTGCGAATGCATGTTCGCTGCTCAGTTTAAATTCCGGTTTTATGGGTGTCCCTGTATAAGATAATACAATGCTTGACGATTTCCACTTGGATGTTTGCAATTTTGCTGATTCAAGATGTCTGTTTCTCATCTGCATCCGAATGAATACAAGGGACAGTAAATTTTATTTAAAAGGTGCGAATTCACCGTCTACATTTAAAACTCAGTTGTACAACATTTTATTTGACCAACATGAGGCAGGCCTTCCAAACGCCTGTCAGGGAAAAGTTCCAAAACAACTGTTTTTCAATTTTTGCAGGCGTCAAGACCCAGGGACAGTGCGACGCACTATTTATGACTTTCGTGGGACAAGAATTCTTGCCCTACAGTCCAGACGGTGCAGTCAAGTCTATTGACAATTTTAACTGGCGGCTGTCATTCTAAGCCCCACAAAATGTTCGAGACTCAAAGAAAAAAAAACCACGCAAGGTAGTGTTGCAGGGCGTGGTGGCAGAATATGCGTGAAATTCTGCTGAAATTCCGAAATCAGCAGGGCTTGGGATTATTTACTTGCTCCGTGGGGAATAGTGGCGAGGTCATTTGGTCGGAAAATTCCCATTGGTCTCCCAAAGGTGCACAAGGAGGGCGCTCCTCTCCGGCCCATTGTTTCGCTCAAAGGCACTCCAACGTACGGACTGGCAAGATGGCTGTTTCGGCGCCTCAAATTTCTGACCGCTGATTCGGACACCACGGTCTGTTCGTCAACGCAATTCCTGGAGAAGCTTAAAGGAATAAGTCTCTTGCCCAATTAGGTCCTGGTATCTTTTGATGTCATGTCCCTCTTTACTTCTATCCCCCAGGATCTGGCAATCGAGACCGTCCAGCTACTCCTACGAAACAAATACGATGAAACGGAGAATCGTCTCGGACATGCCCAAGTCCTTCAGCTCCTAAAGTTCTGTCTCAGGACGTACTTCACGTTTGACGGCACAATCTACGAGCAAGTGAAGGGAACACCAATGGGCTCGCCGATTTCGGGATTCATCGCCGAGGCGGTGCTACAGCGGTTGGAGTCGCTGGTCTTCCAACACCACAGACCGTAATTCTGGGCTCGGTATGTGGACGATACCCTCGTCGTCATCAAACGAAACCCTGTGCTAACGTTCAGAGAATGTCTCAACAGCGTCTTCCAGGACATAAAATTTACGATGGAGGTGGAATAGGATAACTAGTTGACAATACTTGATGTCCTCGTCTGTCGCACAGATTGTGGTGGCCTAAAGGCCAAAGTGTTCAGAAAAGCGACGAACACGACGTAAATACTGAACTTCAACAGTTAACCACCCAATCAGCCACAAGCGCAGTTGCGTAAGAACGCTATATCGGCGTGTTGAGACGCACTGCAGTGAACCGGAAGACAAGGTTTCCGAATCCCAATATCTTCGGCGGGTTTTCAGAGAAAATTGTTACCTGCGCAACTTTGTCAACCGGTGCATGCGCCAACGAGACGAACGAAAAAACCGTGCCGACCCCAAATTCTGGCGAGCGATCCTGTACATCGAGAACGTCACTGAGGTCGTTAGTCGCCTTCTTGCGCCACTTGGGGTTGGAGTTGCACGCAGACCGGAGGCCACCATGAGGCGTCAGGTGATGAGACCAAAAGACCTACTGCCACGGCTAGAAACATCTGGGGTCGTTTACCGGATCTGGTGCAGTTGCGGACGAAGCAATCACGTCGGAGAAACTGGAAGACTGCTCCGGACGCGAATTACCGAACACGTGGCAGCGGTACGCAGAAATGACGCCAACTCTCAGGTCGCGGCCCATTCGACCAGACCCGGCCACACATTCAAGTTCGATGAGGCCGAAATTCTCGCGAGAGGGGATAATCGCGTGAGTCGCAAGCTGCTTGAGTTATGGTTCACGGGACCTCAGTCTATCAACAAGTGCAACGACATCCCCATTCCATACTCCATGCTGAGACATATACTGGTCAAAGTAATTGAGCACTCGTGGAGCGCGCAAGCCGGTAAGCCAGATTGCCGAACAATCATCACGCCAGCATCCAACACGGGCGATAACATTTCGGCAATTAACAACTTGCATGTCGGCCATCAAGCAATTATCGCACCAGTGGGTAATAATCCTTGATAAAGAGGAGCGCGGTTAACTGCTATAGGTATGCGGTAGCATAGCGACTGCATCCTATAAATGCCGCAAATTCCTGTGTACGAGTCACCCTTTTCTGCCACTATCTCTGATGATGGATTCGAGTGAGAATCCGAAACTACAGGCGAATAAAGCCCTGATTCCAGCTATCGCTTCTTCTTCTTCTTCTTCTTCTTCTTCTTCTTCTTCTTCTTCTTCCTCTTCGTCGTCTTCTTCTTCTTCTTCTGGTCCAAAGTGAATTTTGTAACGATCAGCTCTGCCATTTCGAATTTGCCCTTAACATGTGCACTTATAAGCCAAAACTAATTTGGTGTTTTTATGAAATAAATATTTAATTCCCTCAATGTTATGTCATTCGCGAACCAAAATTGAAGGGATTTCCATGTGGAAAGTTTTCTTGAATTAGGCGCTCCCGAGGCTCGGTAATACCATTCTGCCTATATCATGTGCCACTGTGCGGCTGCTGGTTGGGCTCGAGAGACAGCCGTTAAGGCACAACGGAACGAGTGAATTCCGCATAAACGATCGGTGAGCGCCCCCTACCATTGTATATTCCCGATCGAAACCGACAGGGCAACGGGATCGTGGCTCAGTGGTTAGAGGCGAATGATATAGGCAGAATGGCATTACCGACAAAGACAAGGGAGACTGGAATGACCATTTCCGGCTTATTAGCCTTCGCCAGCCAGTCATACCCAACCCCGAAGTGTAACACACCCGAGGCTCGGTAATACCATTCTGCCTATATCATGCGCCACTGTGCGGCTGCTGGTTGGGCTCGAGAGAGAGCCCGTAAGGCACAACGGAACGAGTGAATTCCGCATGAACGATCGGTGAGCGCCCCCTACCATTGTATATTCCCGATCGAAACCGACAGGGCAACGGGATCGTGGCTCAGTGGTTAGAGGCGAATGATATAGGCAGAATGGCATTACCGACAAAGACAAGGGAGACTGGAATGACCATTTCCGGCTTATTAGCCTTCGCCAGCCAGTCATACTCAACCCCGAAGTGTGGCACACCCGAGGCTCGAACTGGCGACCTGTTAGTGAGAAGTCCAACGCCTCTAATCACTAGCCACGGACCCGTCGTCCTGTCAGTTGCGATCGGGAATATACAATGGTTGGGGGACGCACACGAAAATGGCCATTCTAGTCTCCCTTGTCTTTGTCGGTAGTACCATGCTGACGATATGCATTTTGCTTCGCATCTTGCGACCCACCCAACTGAATTATGGGCATTTTGATTGCCTGACACTCTTCGGTGACGCAATCACTGTAGTGGACAGTTGTTACTAACGGAAAACTGCCCACTTTTCTTGTCCCGGTACGTACTTTGAGCTTTCATCAATGAAATCCAAGACTCAAGTTAGTAGCCCCGCAGGTGACTTCAAATATCTAACCAGCGAAAATTCGAGTGGGGTTTATTTTGTAATTTTTTGTCAAAAACATTTGATTGGCCTGCCTGCAGCACCGAACACAACAAGTAGCCACCAAGATTTAAACCCCTAGGCAGACAACAATTTGGAAATTGGCTAGACTTTTGCCCTAACAACCTCCTTAAATTACTAACGAGAGTCAGTTGAATGGTGACGCGTTGGGCCATGATGCGCACACTTCCGACGTATGTACACATATATGAATTTAAAAACGGGCATCCCAGGAGATTTAATTAAGAAATGGAAATGCTTTGGGAAACTGGAACCATTATTGCAAATATTTTGGAGACTGCCCCCCAGACCGTCTTCACACTATGGATGTACAAAAACAATTAACTACTTGACTGAATCTAATAAATGATCCTACGATTGGCCAACGTCTGTGCCAATACGTGCCAATCACATTTTCGTCACTTCATCGGGATTGGTTGCGCCAGACTGAATTTTTCCTTACCAATTTTGTATGCGGCATCTATATCGACGTGCCGGTTGATGCATGTTTCATCTGATTGAATTGCTTCTAGTTATTCGTGGCCTCTTCTTAGTAGGCAGGCGCCAACAATGCGAGTGTTCTTACACGCAAATTTGTGTCCAGTGTGTGTGACCACCCGGGATAGATGGTCGCGTCCGTTCACCGCTAAGCGATGTTCATGTACACGGGTTGAGACAGATTTCCCAGTTTGACCACAACAGACGGCATCACAACTAGCACATGGGATTTTGTAGATAACATCTTCTCTATCAAGGTAGCCAAACCTGTCCTTAGGGTGTACAAGCTGTGTGCGTAGGTTGGTTGACGGCTGGTGTGCTTTGTGCATCTGGTTTTTTTATTTGCCTTTCGACTAGTTCAGATTCATTTTTCACGCATGGGAGAGTTCAACAGGTGATTGGTTTTGGTGCTCAGGCGGCGATAGCATTGGAAATACCCTTCCGTCTGGATTTCTGGTGCCTCAAGCATTGACGTACAAATCATGTGAGTACTGATTTTAGGAGAATAGTTTGTAGAGGTATTTCCTTTCTGCTCGAAAAGTTGTTTCCTCAGACCAGTGAATTTTTAGTTACTCTTAAAATGTAGGATGACTTTTGAATAGGCCTCTTTGCGATAAATAGATTTATGAAGCGACCCATCGGTTTTTCAACATCAAAGAACATCTAGGATTGGCACTTTTGCATCAAACTCCGTTTCAAACGAAAATTTGATTTATGGAAATGCATAGTTTAATTTTATATGAAGCAGAATAACTTGGTTTTTCTTGACGATAATGAAATTATAATCTGCATTGCGTAGCAAGGATTTCATATTAACTGTGGAAAGAGTCATAGTTCCTCATTTCTGCATTAGGCATTCTGCCGGGGATCCGGAAATATGTTGACCCCTCTTCGGTAGCATTGTTTGGAGAAGGAAAATGTTGTTTTTACTCAAAGATCTAGGAGTCTAAGTGAAGCGTCTGAAGGCACCTCGGAAGTGTATGTTTGAAGGACTCCTTCGGTGCATCTCCGAAATGTAACAAAATGCAATTAACATGTATTGTTGAAGGCGTTAACCAGTCGGGAAATCCTCTTTGAAACACAGTTAATAATGAATTGTTTATGTACACCCATTGCGGCACGATAAGCTGTGAGACAAGCATACGGAATTTTTATAACAATAGTACAGGTACTCAAAAAATTCATCTATCCAAAAAGTGCAACATCAGAACTCGACAAACCTGAGAACGCATGTGCACGGATAAATGCTATTCAACGACGCGGCTGGAATGAACTAGCTTTTAAAGCTTATATATTCACGTAGTGGGCTGTGCAAGAAAGGTGGCCACAATGCCGTTCTTAATTCAAGGAATCAGTAGAAGCCCAAAAGAAAACTTAACCTCCCGTTCTACCTGAATGGATTGCTGAATGTGGGTGGGAAGGAGAGAGTACGATAGGTGCTGCTCAAGTCTAATCTCACTCTAAATTAATTTACTCTGTCTGTTTGATCTTGCGGTGGAAGACATGGTGGTCGTCGTCGGGCACGAAGTTTGGATTGCGAAGACTAGGTTCAAAAGTCATGGTTTACAGCATGGCCGTCCATAAGCAACTTTAACCCAAAATCTTATTCCGAACCCTGACACCAACCCAGATTCCGCCTTTAACCTAGCCGAAGATAAATGATCGGCACCATACGCAGGCATCCTATTAGATTTGAGAGAGAAATAATAAACCTTTTGGTAAATTAACATGTCATAAAATGAGATCCTGTCAGTCATATAATGCTTTGATATTTTTTAACTGGGTTTCTAGGGTTTCGCAATCCCTCACTTAATCGATTATCTGCCGTACTGATAACAGGTCATACGCGTATAATAGCAACTGGCTCCAATTATCGCAGATACATATAAAGTCAAGGAGAACCCTTTTTATTGGAAAACCTCAAAATTTCAAATGTACCAGCACCACTTATTTTCATTAAATGTGGGAAAATCCTGTCACCGAAAAAAACCCAACACCCAAAACCTC